AAGAAAGTAACATTCCCGGAATTGTAAAGATATATTTGACCTTTTCTCTGTAAAAATAATTAGTCACGAGATCATGAGGGGAGGAAGGGAGGGAGGCTGTGGGTAATGAAGGAGGATATATAAAAGGCTCAATAAAGTGGGAAGAAGGCTCTCCCTCTCCTCTCCTTTTCTTTTCTCCCGAATTTGTGTTGTTTTTCTTAATCCTCACCCCTCTCCTCAGGTACTGTTCGTCTAGTGACGGCTGGCTCCGTCACAGCACCGCACCTGCCTTGCAAGCACAAGGTCCTGAGTTAGATCCCCAGTAATTGGAAAAAACAAAACAAAACACATCTGTAAAATTTTTTTAAATTAATTTTTAAAATTAGGCCTCCTGTTTCACTAGTTAAAACTGATTTTCCCTATCTTCTTGTTTTCCCATGTCCCTGTTTCTTAGTTCATTTATGAGGTTGTCCGGTATCTACAGAAATTTAATTTTTATTCATTCATCCAGTAAATATTGAACACTTACTATATTGTAGGGAGGGATAGAGCAGTAAAGTTTTCTTGAAATTTACATTGTTTCTTCTTTTCTACAGATAAGAGATTTGCTCTCTAGAACCAAAAGGCCCGGGGGACTAAAAGTCAGGGAAGGTCACCACCTGGGCTTTTATGTGGAAGGTCTGAAGTCTGTGCCTTGTGAGAACTATGCTCAAATTGAAAAGCTGATGGAACAAGGAACAAGAATCAGGACCACAACTTCAACCAACATGAATGCCAGCAGCAGCCGGTCCCACATGGTCACCACCATTCAGTTCAAGCAGGTGAGCCCAGTGCATGCCCTAGTCCTGGCTCCTCACAGGAGCCACCTTTGCCAGGGTTCCCGGTGGCATCTGTGATGGATGCTATGGAATCCTTCCAGATGTGACCTTGGGTTAAGGTGGCCACTTCTACACCATAAGGTCAGAAACAAGAAAAAGTGAGGTACTTGCTTTTTTCCTGCCCTTCCCCAACATCCAAGCCCTGTCCTGGCCTAAGTTAACCCATTACTAATAGTGGGGTGGTCATGCAATGACTAGACCCCAAAAGTGCCATAGTTGGCTGTTTCCCCTCAAGTAAATTGCTTGCTCTGAGGAAAGAATTTTGATCCCACATTGACCCAGGAGTAAACTGTGAAGATTTTAGAGTGACTCCCTGGTTTATCTTGGAGAATTATGTTAGGGACAGGTCCATGCATCACCAATATGAGGCCAAGCTTTCAGTTCCATGAGCCCTGGGCCCCTCAAGATACTGAAGGACCTTTTTGACTTCTGGAAGAACCAAGATTAATTCTTTAGAACCAAGTAATGCACTAAGTAAAGTCTTTGATAAACTAGAGTGAACTTTTCTCCTCCATATTCCTTGGTGGGTGTCAGGAATGATCTATACAATATCCTCTGTTTGAACTAGAAAGGGTTATTCACATATTCTGGGTGAATGCTGCAGTTAGCAATGATTGTACCACCTCTGTCCTCCAAATCACAGTGCCCGGAATAAATAAAATGGTAACAGTGAAAATTATCTTGCACTCACCAGGAGTAATAGTCAAACACTGGACTGAGTCTGACTCTTTCATTTACCAGTTCTAAGATTTTTGAGAAATAACTTAATCTCTCCGATTTCAGTTTCCTGTTCTGTAAAATGGGATGGGTAGTTCTGCCCCAAGGAAAGTTGGAAGGTTTGAGATATGGCATTTTAAAGAACTTTATAAACTTTTAAGTGCTATTCACTTGCCCTTACAACGTTAGTAAAACTCACAAACTTTACATATGAGGAAACTATATATGAAGACCAGGCTTATTAGCATATACCTCTAACCCCAGCTACTCAGGAGGTTGAGGCAGTAGGATAGCAATTTGGAGGCCACCCTAGGCAAACAAGTAAGACCCTGCTTTAAATTTTTTTTAGGAGGGGCTTTTTTTTTTTTTTCTTAAAGGGCCAGAAATGTTGCTCAGCTCTAGAGCACTTGCCTAGCTTGTGCAAGACCCTGGGTTCAACCCTCATACCAAAAAACAAACTAACAAAAAACTCCTGAACATATGATTTGCTATGCTACTTTTTAACTTCTTATTTTAGGGGCAAGGAAAGAAATCAGCTGAATATTTAGCACCATGCTGCCATACTCTTTAGTGGGGTCGGCATAACACCTCATACCATGTGCAGGGCATGTTAGATCCATTGCATCTATTATCTTGAACCCTGCCGCCAACATCTCAGTAATGTGGTGCTGGTATCATTCTACAACTGAAAGCTGACACACAGAAAAGTTCGTGTAGCCTGCAAGAGAACCCATAGAATTCTAAAATTTATGTTCATTTTACTACAGGACTATGCAATCCTGAATGATTACTTATTTTGCAGATTTCATATGGAGGTTTATATTTTTAAAGTTTATTGGTGATAGATATACTAGATTTATCAATGGTATCCAATGTTGTTTTCAAAAGAGCTTTGCAGACATGGGAAGGGGAAAGTGAGGCTGTTGGGCCTGGTACTACAGTACTGGAAAATGTCATTGTAAAGAGGATTTTAAATGGAAAACTTCTTTTTTTTTTTTTAGTCTAAATTACAGTTAGAAGAACTGCTTAAGTATGTGGACTAGGTTGACTTCCCATGCAGCATGCAGCACTCTAACAGACTGCTTGGGTGCATTTCTACAGGTTTTTCTAGACAGAGCCCTTACCAAACAATCCATCATCAATTTGGTGGATTTAGCAGGAAGTGAAAGACAGAAATCTTCAGGATCTGAAGGAGACAGACTGAAGGAAGGATCACGAGTTAACTTGAGTTTAACCAATTTAGGAAATGTTATCAGGTATGTAATCAGTGGACAGGCATCAATTACTTCTTGGTTGTGCACAGTGGTGCCCACCTGTAATCCCAGCTCAGGAAATCGAGGCAGGAAGATATCAAGTTCAAGGCCAGCCTGGGCAACCTAGTAAGACCCTGCTCAAAACAAAAAACAGAAAGGGTTAGGGATTGTGTTCATTACTTTCATGTTGTTGAGATAAAACACCCAACACCCCCAATTTAAAGGAGGAAAGGTATATTTTGGCTCATGTTTCAGCCCATATGTCACAGGCTTAAACAAGAAACAGTGTGATGGAAGGGCCTTGGCAGAGGAAAGCTGTTTACCTTATGGTGACCAAGAAGCTGAAAGAGAAGGGAGAAGCTAGGGAAGCAGATATACCTTTCCATGCCATGTCCCCAATCACTTGCCTCTTCTGACCAGTCCCACCTCCAGATTCCTAATAGCAAGTCAGCTGTAGGGTCTTCATAACCTATTCACTTTCCACAAGCCCCACCTCTGAGTCCATGAGGCTTTAGAATAACATTGCAGATCCAAACCACAATATACCATCCCTGGCTCCCAAAAATTTCAAGCACATCTCTTTATGCAAAATGCATTTAGTCCATCTCTAAGTGTCACCAAAGTTTTAACTGTTCCAGCATTGTTGAAAAGCCCAAGTCCAAAGTATCCTCTGAGACTCAAGGCAAACTCTTATCTGTGAACCCCTGTAAAAATCAAAGAAAGTTGAACACTGCCAACATACAAGAGCACAGGATAAACATTCTTATTCAAAACAGGAGGAATAGGGGGATAGAAAGGAATGGGACCAAAACAAGACCAAAACCCAGCAGGACAAACAGTAAATCCTATAATTCCATGTCCAGCACCAGGGGCAAAGATGTAAACTCCAAATGGCTTGGGTGGCCCTGACCCTACAGCATTGCTAGTTACAGCCCTCATGGCTTCTATCTTGAGGTGGCTTCACCCACTGCCTGTGGATTCCTCAGATGTTCCACATTCCTGGCTTCTCCAACTTCCTAAGGTCTCCACTGAACTCTTGGCTTTACTCTCTCAGGTTTACATGGTGCTCTCTCAGGAGTTCACTGCCTGGCCTCCCATGCCTTCTCATGAAATCTGGGTGGAAGCCTCCCACAACTCTTGCATTCTGCATGCCTGTAAAATCAGCACCTGTGGACAACACTAAATTCTGCCAGCAGCTTGAGCATTGGCCAGGCCCCCAGGGTCATGGCTGCAGAGGCTTCTGCATGCCTAGATGGCTGAGCATTGTGACCTGAATCCCAGGGAGCTAGTTTGAAGAGGTGCCATGGGGCTCTCATCTCAAAACAGTCTTTCATTTTTGCAACTTTAAACCTGTGCAGGATGGGATCTTATTGGTTCCCAGATGCCCTCAAGGCAACTTTCTTATTATCCTGATCCACAGTATTTGCCTTCTTTTTAATGCTAATATTTTTAGCAACCAAGCTCTCCTCTGCTCCAACTTTACAGGTGCTTACTTTCTGGGAAAACTGAAAGCTTTTTAAATGAGATTTTTGTTCTTGTTTCTCAGACTAAATATTGCTAAAAGATGCCAGCAATATCCATATGATAGCCTCAACATTGGACTGCCTTGAAATTTCCTCTGCCAGATTCATTACGTTGCTGCCTTTAATCTCAGTCTCTCACAGTCTCAGTACATGACATAATGAAGTCAAATTTTCTGCCAGAGCATAATAAATGATCTGGAATTCAATTGCCAATGAAGTCTCTGCTCCCAACTGAAACCTCATGAGCCTAATCTTTACTCTCTGCATTTTTGTCAGCATTCTGGTCTTCTGAGCTCTGATTAAAATCTCCCATCAAGCTCAGCTTACACCATTCTAAGGCTGCTTCTCCAGCCAGCATCTCCAAACCCTTCCAAATGCCTCCCATACACCAGTTCCAAAGGCTTCTAAACCACATGGTCAGATACTCTTTGCAATGACCCCACTCTTCAGATGCCAAAATCTGTCCCAGTCACTTTCATCACTGGGACACAATACCTGACACAATACCCACAGCTTAAAGGAAGAGAGGTTTATTTTGGCTCATGTTTTAGAAGTGTCAGTTCTTGCATGGTGGAGGGCATGGTGGGGGGGATCTGGGAAGAGGAAAGCTGTTCAGATTATGGTGATCAGGAAGCAGAGAGTGGAGGGAGGAATGAAGAGGGAGATTCACTCCACCAGGCCACAGCCCACCTCTTCCAACAAGGCTCCATCTCCTAACACCACATTTAGCAATAGCGCCCCATGAGTCAATCATCATTTAAAAGCCCCACCTATGAGCACATGGGGCTTTAGGAGGAATCTAGATATAATCTAGATATAAAACATAATAGGGATGTAGCTCAGTGATAGAGCACCCCTTGGATTTGATCTTCAGTATTGCAAAAAAGAAAGGAGATCTCACAAATACAAAAGGGGTGTGGCTCAGTGGTAGAGCATGTGCTTACCATGTGTGAAGCCCTGGCTTTTTAAAATAAGGAAAATTAAAAATTACATTAATTATAACCCTTGGTTCATGTCATCAGTTCATGCCTGACACTCCTATATATTTTATTTTAAACTAATTAATATTTAACAAAATAACCCTAAGAAAATCATCTCCCAACTCAAGAGCTATCTGGTTCAAGTTTCCTCTCCTTCCATACCCTTGGAGGTACCCACCATCTTGAACTTTAAGTTTCTCTCCCCTTGTCCTTTCTCCTTTCTTTTATCAATTTTGACTATTACTGCTTAGTGGTACTCTTTGAAAAAAAAATTTTTTGTGTGTGGTGCTGGAGGTGGAACCCCTACATACAAGGCATAATTTCTCTACCACTGAGCTACAGCCTCAGCCCAAGGTTTTCATTTTTTAGCTTTATAAAAAAGGTAAGCTATATTGTCTTCTGGGACTTAGATTTTTTTAAGACTTATTAGGGTATAAGTTTCAGTAAAGAATACAAATCTTAAATATTCATTTCAATTTTATATATATATATATATTCTCATCACTATCTCTATCACCTCTACCTCTATCTCTTTCTCTTCTCCCCCAGGTCAAAACACAAAACGTTTCCAAAACCCAAATTTCCCTTACACCCCCTTCCAGTTGGTACTCCTACCAAAAGAAATTGACCTTTGTTATCACCTTAGTTTTGCCGAATCATCTTGCTTGTTATGTAAATGAGATCATTTATTTGAGGTCCCTGGCATGTGTGTCTGACTTCTTTCACTAAAGACTGTGTCTGTGAGGTTGTTCAGTTGCTGCACGCAGCGATACTCATTCATTTTCATTGCTATTCTGTCTCCATGGTGTGAATGTATCACAATGTATGTATTTATTCTACTGAGGGGCATGTAGTTGTTCCCAGGTTTGAGCTATTAGGATAAAAGCTGCCATGAACTTTTTTTTTTAGTTTTTAGACAATTTAAGGTTTTTTAAAGTTTTATTTTTTATTTGTACTGTTCGTGGCACATAGTTTTTAATTCCATGTACATAGCACATCTCAATTCCTTTCTAGTCCCCTTCTCCTTGCCTTCCTCACTCCCCCCTCTGTCACTTGGTCCCTTTCCCATTTGCAAAGGATCTATCTCACTATGCCCTATTATCTGTCTTTTGTTTTAGTCTTTATTTGTATCCTGAGTTTCTCACATAGGAGAAACCATGTGGTATTTAAGCTTGTGTATCTGGTTTATCTCACTTAACATTATGGTCTCAAGGTGCATCCATTTTTCTATTAATGGACATGTAGTTGGTTTCCAGGTTTGAACTAATAGGATAATGCTGCTATTAACATTTGTTTTTAGTTTTTAGATAATTTGGTGTTTTTTTAAATTTTAATTTTTGTTTTATTACTCTTTTCTTAGGCATATGTATTATAAATATCTTCTCCCAGTGATAATTTTTTAATTTTCCTAAGATGTGTATTGATGCGCAGAAGTTATGGCTATGGTTTATGTTGTACTTTTTAAAAATTTTTTTGGTACTGGGGATCGAACTTGGGTCCTCGCGCTTGAGCAGCAAGTGGCGAAACCACTGAGCTAAATCCCCAGCTGTTGTACATTTTTAATATCTTGTTTAAAAGCGTTATGGTAAAAAAAAAAAAAAAACAAAAAACTACCTATATTACATCTAAGTTCCTATCCAACTGGACTTGATTTCTGGGCATGGTGTAAGGTAGGTATCATTTTTGTTATTTCTTTCTTACATATTGCCAATTTTTCCAAGTCAACTTGAATAGCCTCTCCTTCCCCAGTGGTCTTCAGAACACTTCAGTCATATATCAAAATTCAGTATATGCTTAACTCTTTCTTGACTCTAAAAATATCTTCTTTTTGTCAAAGCCTAAATATAATTGTAACATCAGCTGGGTGGTCTGTGAGGGGCCAGGAGTCTTCAAGACACACACACACACACACGCACACTGACACACCACACACACACACACCAGCATGCACCTCCGGGTTCCTCACCTTCACTCCCATGAAGAATGGAGAAGTGAGGCGAGACTGGGTCAGAGCCGAAGGCCCCAGCAGAGAATGAGGAACTCAGGTTCAAGGAAGAAAGAGGAAGTCAGAAGTGAATGTAATGGGAGGCAAAAGTTTATTTATAAGGTTGCACGAATGCAAGGAACAGCTGCCAAGCAACAGGGCCACGCTGTAAGGCAGGGGGAATTGGACTAAATTTCCCAGGGAGGGACCTGGAATCTGCTCATACTTATATAGGGGTAAACTGGTTCCTAAAAATAACTGTTTCACTGATTGGAATAATCTAAAGCTTTGTTTCTGGGTTGGAGAAAGGTCAGGGGAGCTAAAGGGGCACATAGAGAGTACATGTGATAATTCCACAAATGCTAGCTTCTTCAAGTACATGGCGTGCGATAAGCTTGTGGCAAACACACAACCCCCAGGTCACGTCCTGTATCATCCTACTACGGCTCCCTCGAACTGTCCCTACTTAATGTGGACTTCATCCTTCTCCCCGTAATAGAAGGATCTCTAGCCTACCTATGTAATTGTCATGATTTCCTTTCTACTCTTCTTTAATCTCAAAAGGCATTATTAGTATTTCACACAGTGGTAATACAAATTTACTCCCCCTACTTTCTCAATCATCTTTCTTGTATTTTAGAGCTGCTAGGATTAGTTTCCTTCTGGCGGAAGTAAATTCTTTAGAATTTCCCTTAGTGATGATCTATTGGCAGCATCCCCCCCCCCCACCTCCCGCTTCCTTTCTTTCTCTCTCTTTCTCTTCCTTCTTCCTTCCTTTCTTTTTCTTTTTCTCTTTTTCTTTTTCTTTCTTTTTCTTTTTCTTTCTTTCCAGTGCTGGAGTTAGAACCAAGGGCCTAACGTATGCTAGACAAATAGGCAAGTGCTATACCACTGAGCTACATTTCTAGCCTTCATCTCTTTCTTGAAAGATGTTTTCACTGTGTGTAGAATTTTAGATGGAGGCCAGGTGTGGTGGCACATACTTCTAATCCTAGCTTCTAGAAAGCTAAGGCAAGAGAGCCCCATGTTCAAGGCCAGCTTGAAAAGTACCCCAGACCTGACCGGGCATGTAGCTCAGCGGTTCAATCCTCAGTAATCAATCAATCAATCAATCAATATTTAAAAATCCTAGTGGGCAGAATTTTCTTTCAGCTCATTAAGGATACCATCCATTGATTATTTAATTGCTGTTCCCTTAAAACTAATCTGTCTTTTTTATCAGCTGCTTTGAAGCTCTTTATTTTGGGTGTTCTCTGATTTGGCTGAGTTGTATTTGAGTATAAATTTCTATTTGCCATCATTGAGCTTCCTGGGACTTCATAGCTCTGTGGATTAGTGATTTTCATCCTTTCTGGAAAATTCTCCACATCATCTCTCACATATTGCCTCTACCCATTTTCTTTCTTCTTTTCCCTTTTGGAAGTTCCCATAGACTATTGGGGCCTGCTCACTCCCTCCCCCATGTTCTTACACTTTCTGGGTTGTTTCCCATCGCTGTGGCCCTGGGCTGCAGTCTGGATAATTTCTTCTGAACTAATTCACTAATTCCAACTACCGCAGTGTCTAACCTACTGTTAATCTTATCCATGGTGTTTTCATTTTTGTTCTTCTTTTCCAAAAGATTAGTTTATTTGTTTTCCAATAAATTGTCTTAATTTTATGGATTTCTTTTTCCCTTCCTGTGATTATAACTTACAAATGAGATTTCCTCCTCCTTTTTCTTTATTCCCTTCAATGCCAGCAATGCCTTTTGTTTTGCTTTGCTTTGCTTTGTTTTGTTTGAGGTGGGGTCTTGCTATGTTGCCCAGGCTGACCCCAAACTCCTGGGCTCAAGTGATCCTCCTGCCTCACCCTATTAAGGAAGTACGAATGAAGACAAGGAAAGGACTTCCTGCCACTCCTGGATCCTGTCTTCACACCACCAGTCCTGTGCAGATTTACCATCACAGCCCCCTCAGGGTTCCATGTGGTAGTCTCTAGGTCCCGGCTTCCCTCTCTGATCCGAAGATCCGGATTTCTCCAGCCCTCCCTGCTCGCGTGCTTTGACGTCTCCGCAAGGAAGTGTCTCTGCCCTTCCTTGTTATCAGGTTTAGGGCTGTCAAGTGGGACAGGGAGCAGGTTTCTTCCTGGTGCCCTCTTCTAAGCTACTGTTTGTTTCCCTTTCATCCAGTGCTCTGGCTGATGCCGCGCTGGGGAAGAAAGTCCTGCACATTCCCTACCGAGACTCGGTCCTAACCAAACTGCTCCAGTCGGCTCTGGGCGGGAACAGCAGAACTACTTTGGTAAAATCACTTTCTTACCGCGTTTTAGACTGATTCAGTTATTATGGCTATTGACATTGTCATTGGGGTTAAAATTTTTCTCAGTGTGCCCTTAGTAGAGCTCTTTGCTATGAGAGCTGCGTACGTGCGTCCTTACCGGTTACCACATGAGCCCTGGGGCCTTTTCTACTACAGTGGTGAAATAAAGCTTTTCTATTACTAACTCTAATTTTTAAATTAGTCTCTTCTGTAATTTTCAGGAACATATATTACATTTTGTTTTGTTTTTCCAGTCCTGGGGATGGAACCCAGGGCATGGTAAGGGCTACATCCCAGCCTGGAACATATTACTTTTACAATCAGAAAAAAACCTAACAATTTAGAACATAGCACCGGCAAAGTCCTGCTATTTTCAATGGGCAGGCACTCCAGTGTGAGGCTGGAGATCAGTTCTTATAAGGCAGGCAAGCCATCGGCAGAGCCACCGATTCTGTCCTCGCGGCAAAGATTCGGGGTGTGGAGTGTGGAGTGCCTGCCAGGTGGGCGCAACCTGCGTGGACCGAGTTAAAATCAGGGCTGTCTGCTCACCAGCTGCAGAGGACAAACTCAGGCAAACGCTACCTCCCGCGGGGTCCTGTTAAAGAGAAAAGCGGCCCCTGCTGTCACTTGGGAGGCCTCTGCTACCCCCCCCCCCAACCAAATTCACAGTAAAGCACACTCTTATTTTATCTCTTAATCTTGCCTCTTTCTTTTTTCTTTTTGGTACCGGGGATCAAACTCGAGACCTTGCACTTCTGAGACAGGCGCCAGAATCACTGGGCTAAATCCCCAGCCCCAATCTTGCCTATTTTAAATACTTTGTTTGAAAGTTATTTGGTTGTCAGTTAACTATGGGCCTCCATGGGCCTCCCCCCAAGAACCTGTAATAAAATTGTGCACATATGGGCTAGGGTGTAGCTCGGTGGTAGAGCAGTTGCCTAGCATGTGTGGGGGCCCTGGGATCAGCGACAGCAGCAGCAGCAGCACAGTGCCCATAACACAGCCTCTGAGTGTTAGACTGAAGTCCAACAGGTCTAAGCAGGTGTATACAAAGTCACCTGAGACTGTGAGGCCAACAGGACAATGTCTAGGTATGCACATTGGCAAGATTACGCCTGCTAAGCCTAGACAGGACTGACTGAAAGCATTAATGTTTTTAATTATTGTTATTTTGTTTGGGCTTTTTAGTGCTGGGGATTGAAGCAAGGGCCTTGTATATACTAAGCATGTGCTGTACCACTGAGCTACATCCCAGCTGCCCTTACAGTGATTTAACAAAGAATGTTGGGGGAGGGGGTGAGAGGTGGTACTGGGGATCAAACTCAGGACCTTGTGCTTTCAAAGCAGGCAGCAGAGCCCCTGAGCTAAGTCCCTGCCCCTTAGCACAGATCTTAAAGCCCCATTTCCTAATAATGATGACCCCCTGAAAATACTGCTGTGATAAATGAGATGATGCAAATGAACACACTTTGAAACTATAAAGTAGCTGGGTATGGTGGCGCATGCCTGTAATCCCAGCTCCTCAGGAAGCTGAGCAGAAGGATCACAAATTGGAGGCCAGCCTAGGCAATTTAGCAAGATTCTGTCTCAGGATAAAAATTTTAAAGGGCTGGGGATGTAGCTCAAGGCTTCCTGGATTCAATCCCCATACAGAAAGCAGTGGGTAGCGGGGGTATAGACTTCTTTGCCAGGCTTTTAATGCTCTGGACCCTGAGTCTCCAGGTCCACAGCCATGTGCTACCATGACCACAGCTACGACGTTGCCCCCGGTCAACAATAGCGAGCCTGCCCACCCCCAAGATGTCAAAAAGGTTCTGATTTGAAGTTTGTTTTCTAAATTCTAGAAGCATGACTCCCAAAATCAATGCCTAGACTTGAAGCCATAGAAATGGCTGTCAAGGAATGAGCAATTCTCATTGATCTGTCCAGTGCTAACATTAAACAATCATTTGAATCCCTGAGAAAATCGCTGGGGACTCAACACTGAGAACAGTGTGGCTCTAAGGTCAGCGGTATGGGGAGTAGAGTCAGTCCATTGTGGGTTCGAACCCCAGTTCTGCCAGTCATTATCTGGGTGATTTGGAGGGTATTATTTTTCTCTAAGCCTATCTTTCTGAGTTGTAAGGTTTGAACAATCCTGTAAGTTATAAGATGCAAAACTGTTCTATGACTGTAAGCTGTTTTTACAACATCAATAGTAATAAACCCCTATGTAAATAACAAAACCTGCAAGGGATGTTTTTATAGATTGCAACCTTAAGTCCAGCTGACATCTGCTATGAGGAAACTTTATCAACATTAAGATACGCAGAAAGGTACGTTTATGAATATTTCTTTACTACAGTGGTTTTGAGTTCTAAATCAGGCAACCTTTTCCAGGGCTGTGGGGTGAGGGTCCAGAAGAAGGTGAAAAAAATGATTTGTAACAGAGAAATGAAAAGACATAAAACAAATAAGAAAAGAAGTGATTCTGTCCCTCAAGTCCTAGATAGGAGAGGAGTCATGGGCTCAGATGGGAGAGACACAGATGCCAGTCCTGATGTAATTCATTATATGTCTCCCTGTAGTTTCCTACCAAATACCATGGCTGTTCACATATTCCTCCTACACAGGGAGAGTTTAGAGCCAAGCAAGGAGTGTTTGTGCTAATAATAAATGAAGATGAGCTATGGAAGAGATGAGCTTCCAGTGACTCCCTGTGAATGTGTCAGGTCTGTACACTCTTTGGAGAAGGCCAGAAGGTCATAGGTGTCCCTTGACTAGGGGAGGCCATCTGTCATGGCCTTGTTCCTTTCCGTCTGCCTGGCCTGGGAAGCGCCCCACACACAGTTGGCTCTGGCGGGTGGCAGCACTGTAAGAAAGGCGAGTGTGACTCTGGGTGGAAACGTGTCCCCGCCAGGTCACTACTCCTTCCCACACCAAAGCAGAGACTGAGGAGGATCCACCGCTGCAGCTCCGAGTCCAGGCAGAGAGGAGCTGGGCATTCTCGGCCTGCATTCCAGGAGCTTGGAGTCACGTGGGAAATGAAGCTTATTGACCAGCCCTAGGTGTCACTTGTCAGGTCTAAGGGCTTGTGAGTCAGACAGAAAAGATGCTGAGCCTGTAACCCTCTTTTCCCTCACACCCGGAGGGGCTGAACCACTCACTCCTGGCAAAGTTCTGCCTGGCATGTGAGGGATGCTCAGAAACTAGAGTTAGGATTATGCCACCAAGTGATTACCCTTCCTTCTAGTCTTCCCTTCGCTGCCTTCTCAGTTTGTCGCTTGTGTCTGTGTGACGCTTGCATTCTCCCCTCATAGCACACAGCCTCAGTGTTTCAATCATTTGGTACTTTCTTCCAGCAATGAAAACTTGGGTCTTCAGGTTGAATTTCTGCTTCCTCAGTGTCTAGAATGTTCGTTTTCTCCTTGCCTATCAGATGCACGTGTGTTGCTAGCAGTTTTTGCATGCAAGGCAGTGCTGCAGAGGAGAGCAGCAGGTTTGCTGAGGACTGTGTGGCTCAGGGCCGGCCTTGCCAGTGACCGTGTTTCAGTCACTCCTGTGTAGAATGAAAGGAGCCAGGTTGCCAGACTTAGCAAATAAAAATATAAGACACCGGCTAGGGTTGTGGTTCAGGGACAGAGCACATGCTTTGCACGCACACTGTCCTGGGTTTGATCCCCAACACACAAATGCATGTACTTGCATGCATACACACACACTACAAGATGCTCAGTTAATTCGAATTTCCAATAAAGAACCAGTCATGTTTTAGTAAAGTATGCCCCGTGCAATATTTGAAGCCTTCCATGTGTTCTCTGGTGACACTGGGGAGGAATGAACCCGAAGACTCCCAAGTCCCTCCTGGCCCAGGGTACACAGCAGAACAAGGGCTCAGGGCTCTAGGGTTTCAGTTATTGCCGCAGCAACAAAGGCGATTGCACAGACTCTCCAATAACAAAGTGTGGTCAGGCCCTGGGGCACTTGGGCCCCCGCACACTCCAGCTGAGCCACACAGGTTTGTTTGAACCATGACAGTTACTGAAGTCACTTTTGGTCTTAATGGTTTAGTGATCTGGACCCGGAAGGGTGGAATCTCTGGTGACCAAGGGGGGACAGGCTCCCACTCTGATGGCCTCTGAGCACGCTTGCTGCTGCCCTGGGTCTGGTGATTCAGTTCCAGCCACCAAGGGACTGAGAGAGTGTTGTCTTTGCTGTTTGTCTTTGCACATGAAAGGGCTAAAAAGGTCTGGAACAAAGCTGTGGTCAACACCTGCTCACTGGCAAGAGGGTCAAGGGCAGAGAACAACAAACTACTGCTCGGATGTGGAAACTCTGGAATGGCAGGTAAACTGAGTCAGGAAGCAATGCTCAGTCTGTGGCTGGAGCAAGAAGGAGGGGTCTGAGCTGGCTAAGGCCTGGGAACTGGGATTCGAGGCCAGGCCCTGGCCCTGGAGCTGGGGAAGGACACAGGGTAGAACTGGAGGGGGAGCAGGTGGGAGGGGGCCCCTCTGGGGCTTTGTTCAAGATATTTTGGCTTCCCCTTAAAATAAAAAAACTTTAAGGACAATGAAGACTCACATACAATTATAAGAAATAATAGCCCTGCCTTTTAAAATAGTCATTTTAGTCTCTTTCTTTGTCATTTTATTTGAGGCCATCATTTCCACCAGGACTACCATGTTCCTTACCGTCTTTGGATGGGAGCGTATGACATTCAGGGCTTCATGCAGTTAAATGAGGTGGAAGCCCAGGACATGTCAGCAGCCCTCACCTCTACTAATTTAGTGCTCAGCCGAGTGACTGGGCCCTCCCAGACCAACTCACTCAGGACCTCAGGCTAGCACGGTGGAATCAGGCTGTGTGGGTCCAGAGAGCATGGGTCCTTGCTTCAGTAGTAACAGAAATTAAAACCAAAGCAACAGGAGGTATTTACAGGCAAAAGTTTTAATTGGAAAGAAAGAGAAAATATGCAAGGGACTGCAGTTTGGGAGCTGAAAGGGCCCCAGCTCTGAAGGAAGAAGCACAAGATGTTCTGGGGGGCTGAGGGGAGCCATGAGCTGCTTGATTGTTATCTCAGATCTGGTTTTGCAGCTCTGGAGATTCCTTATGACTGAGGGTCAATTCCATTCCCAAGAGACAATTGCTTTTTCTTGGGGGAGGGAGGCAGCCACAGTTTGCAGGGGCTCTGGTGAGTGCAGGGCTACTGCAGACTTTGGAACTGGCCAGAGACTTCTAGGTTCCCATTCCAGGGATTCTGGGGCAAAGGGTGACAGCAGATGTCCCTGCTAATCTCTTATCTTCATGTCCACAGATTGAAGGGGGATAAGGTAAGTTAGGTAAGGCAGGGCTAATCACCCTTACATTACCAGATTTTAGATGGGTGTTCCATAAGTGACTCACATGCCTACCTGCTGAGCTGAGCAGGGATCTGAGCCGAAGTTTTATGGTGATGGAAGAGACAGGTACAGAATGAAGGCAGAGATGCCAAGCTTTGTCCTATTTTTAGTTACCAGTTGGGCATCTGTGAGGTCAGTGGGTTTTTTTTTTGCAAAAGGCAGATTTAAATCCCCAACTGCCTTGAAAGGAAATACAAACCATGCTGTTAATGAGTAACAGGTTCGTTTGTCCTCTGTTCTACTTCAGTGATCACCAATGGTTTTATTTTCTGCTCTAGTTTATTCTTGGAGACACTGTGTTGGGGGCATCCTGGCTGTAATGATCCAGCTGGCTGTTGAGGGCTGGTAAAATGGGGAGGGAGAGGGAGTAGAGTACAGACCATACTTTTAATGAGCGATGGGCCTTGAGTTAAGGTCCCTGAGTGCATGTCTCTAACTCTGTCTCAAATCTTTGTTAAAGTGTGCAGGTGAATCTAATGCACAGTCATCAAGAATCACTGCTTTAAGTTAAGGCCTCAGTTTTCAGTTTGGCACCATGAAGATATACAAGATATACAAGGGGCATATGCAAGACAGAAGAGGGTAGTCACAATGTAGAGTGAATCTTTACATTTCAAAAATGATTACAGTAAATACACATTGCCAGTAATCCCCCTCAAAATATCCCCTCACTTTGAACACACTTATCCCATAATTCTTTTATTTTTAATTTTTATTAGAACATATTTGTAGTACATAAAGATCACATTCCTCATGGGGAGTTGGTACCTGTACATAACGCATCTTAATTCTTTTTATTTCCCTTTCCCCTACCTTCCCTCGCAGCTGCATTTTCTCACTAGCCTCCTTCCATCTCTTTTTTTTTCCTATTAACTATCTTTTATTTTTGTTCTCTTTTTTTTTTTGGTACCGCGGATCGAACTCGGGTCCTTGCGCTTGCGCAGCAGGTGGCGATTTTGTTCTTTATTTATATTTTGGGTTTCTCATATAAGAGAAACCATTTGATACTTAAGCTTGTGTGTCTCATTTATTTCACTTAACATTGTGGTCTCATTAATTTTCCTACAAATGATTCAAGTTTATCTTTCGTTATTCATTCTTCTGTTAGTGGACATATAGGCCATTTCCAACATTTAGCTATTATAAGCTGTGCTGCTATAAACATGGCTATGCATGTATCACTGTAATATGATGACTTTAACTCTTCCAAGAAGATACCTACAAGGAGAATAGCTGGGTTGAATAGGATTTATTTTAGTTTTTTGAGGAATCTCCATAATGATTTCCATAGTGATTGTACTAGTTTACATTCCCACCAACATCAAAGGGTTCTTTTTCCCCCTCAGCCTAACCAGCATTTTTTGTTATCTGATTTCTTGATGATAATCATTCTTTCTGGAGTAAGATGAAATCTCAGTGTTGCTTCAATTTACATTTCTCAACTAGAGAGGTTGAATATGTTTTCATATATTTATTGGCCATTTGTATTTCTCCTTTTGAGAAATGTCTATTCATTTCAGTTGCCCATTTTTTGATTGTGTCTTTTATTTGGGGGGGGCAGGCTAATTTTTTTTGAATTCTTTATATATTCTCAATATTTGTCCTCTGTCCAAGGAATAGCTGACAAAATCTTTCCTTTTTGTACATTGTCTCTTTACTCTGTTGGCTATTTCTTTTTTCTGTATTCTATTTCTTTTTCTGCTTCTTAATTTGATATGATCCCATTTGTTGATTCTTGGCACCGTTAGAGTTCTGTTCAGCAAGTCCTTGCCTATGTCTTCAAGAGTTTTACCTATTTTATCTTCTAGCAGATTGTTTCTATGTTAATACTTAGATCTTTGATTCATTTTGATTTTAATTTAATACATGGTAAGAGATACAGGACTAGCTCTAGATTCAGTCTTCCACATGTGGATAGCCAGTTCTCCCAGCACCACTTGTTGAAGAGGGTATCTTTCCTCCAGCATAAGTTTTTGGGCCTTTTGTCAAAGATTAGGTAGCCAAATGTGCTTGGAGTTATTTTTGCATCCTTCGTTCTGTTCCATTGATCCACATGTGTGTTTTTTCCCAGTACCATACTGCTTTTATCACTGTAGCCTTGTAGTATAAATTGAAGTCTGGAGCTGTCATTCTTTGCTCTTGTTGTCTGGGATTGCTTTTGCTACTTTGAGTGTCTTCTGGTTCCATATAAATTTTAGAATTGTTTTCTCTAGTTCTGTGAGGAATACTATTGGGATTGGGATTGGGATTGCTTTAAATCTGTATGTCAGTTTTGGAAGTATGGGCATTTTGACTATATTTGTTTTGCCTATCCGGGAAGAGGGAATGGCTTTCCATTTTCTGATGTCCTCTTGGATCTCCTTTTTCAGAGCACTGTAGTTTTCATTGTCAACTTCTTTTGCTAGGTTAATTCCTAGGTATGTACTTTCTCTTGATGCTATTGTGAAAGGTATTGTCTTCCTAATTTCTGGGTGAGTTCCTTATTGGTGTACAGGAATGTTACTGATTTTGTGTATTGACTTTATATCCTGCTACGTTGCTGAATTTGGTTATTAATTCTAGGGGCCTTTTGGTGGAATTTTTGGATCTTCGGTGTAGAAAATCATGTCATCTGTACATAATGATAATTTTACTTCTTCCTTTTCTATGCATATCCTTTTTATTTCTTTCTCTTGCCTGACTCCTCTGGCTCATGTTTTGGGAACTATATTGAACAGTAGTGGTGACAGTGGAGATCCTGTCTTGTTTCTGATTTTAGAGAGAAAGCTTTTAGCTTCTCTCCATTTAATATGATGATTGTTGCTGTTGTTTTGTCATAAATTATCCGTTACCACTGTCAGAAGCAGTTCTAAAAGTCCTTTACAAGTGTCTCCACAGGTATGATCAAAAATTGGTGAATGTTGTTGCCAACTGCCATCCAATGGAAAGGCAGCCTTGTACAGACATTACAATGTGTCCTCATCCACTTCATTGACCACGTCTAGCACCGTGTGATCTTTGGCTCTTCCCCCAAATCAAAATGACCACAAAAGATAAACATTTCAAATTGATTCAGGACACTGAGGCAGCCACAACAGTACAAATGAAGACACTCAGGAAAGAGGACTTCTAGAACTTCTCCAGAAAGTGGCCTGAAGGATGGGGTAAGTGTGTTCAAGGCCAGGGAGAGTATTTTGAGGGGATTGATGGCAATGTGTCTTTAATAAATCTTTTTAAAATTTAAAAATTCATCATATATTTTTATACCACATGTACATTTTATGCCCATTATGGTTTAAAATGGGATGGATGATAAAGGTAAACTAGAAAACTGTTAATGTGCAATTGGTAAGGTGTTCAGCATCAAGACAACAACATAGAAAAAGCCCAAAACATCTTTGTTTAGTGCTCTGTAGCAATCCTGCTCCTAGCCCGGGTTCCATGTCGCCTCCCCAGCTGAACCCTCTGGTGGCCCCCTCCCTCTCTCTTCATGGTCCCAGTCATCACAGGGTCAGACACGGTTTGGGCAGCCCTGCCAGGAACATCTCCAGGCTTCCACCTCAGCACAGCAACTTCCTGAGTTAGAGTTGGTGCACACAGCTGGTCCAGGCACGGAGCTGATTGCCACGTGTCTCTAACACTAAAACCGGGATGCGTTGGATGTTGACCTACACATGGCATCCAATTCTCATTGTTCATAAGCAAAGACACAAAATACATGAAAGACAATGTAAGATAAATCTGATTCTTCCTCAATCCCATGGCCTTGTGGGAATTCCCTACAATGATGGCATGAGACAAAACCCCCTCACAAGCTTACAGGAAAGAGGAAGAGAATATCTCCTCTCAGAAGGGCCTTCTTGCCCTAATGTCTTATGAGTTACACAGCAGTACTGCTCATCATAGGAATTAGCAAATGAGTTCTGCATACCTAAGTGCAGCTTGGTTTCCCCTCCTTGGGGGTCCCTTTACTTCACTGAGAACCCAGGTCAGAGTCCCGTAGTGACTCCATGCCTCACCTCTGACACCTCCGGCCTGGTGCTTACAATCCTCCCTCCCTCCCACAGTTTAAAATCCTCTGCTCTTTCCTGGCAGAACAGCAGCTGGGGACTCTCACTACCCAGGGGACTTGGGCACACCTGCTAGAGCAGGCATGGAAAGAGTGGGAGCAGCAGTACACGGCTTCGGCCCTGGTGAGTCTCCCTCCTCCCTGCCAAGGGCAGCCTCTGCCTCAGATGTGGAAGACCCCCAGGGGCAGTGAGGCTTTGTCAGTGAACATGTAAAATGGGACGCAGGATACAGGACTTCTTACTCCTGGTGGAGCTAAGGGGAGAGAGAGTAAGTGCCAGGGCACAAACGGAAGGGAGCCACAGAGCCTCTGTGTACACTGAGGCCGAGCATGGAATTCAAGGCTGTTGGTAATTTGAGTTTGGGGGGAATTTGAGGGTTATGAGTTGTCCCCTGGGACTGTACACAGTGACCTGAGCCATGGTGCCTCTCCTGGCACTCACTGCCAATATCTGATCACAATCCCCTGTGATGCAAATATAGATTTTTTTTTTCTAGTGCTGGGGTTGGAACCCAGGGCTTTGCAAAATCTAGGCAGGTGCTCTGCTATCGGAGGCTGATCAGTCCCCTGATCTGCCTAGAGAGGGGTAAGGTGAAAGATAAAGAAAGAAAGACAAATGGGCCAGGGATTTAGCTCAGTGGCACCACACCTGCCTCACAAGCACAAGGTCCTGAGTTCAATCCCAGGTACCAAAAAATCTTATAAGACAAAGAGACACACTTTCCACGCATATGGGGGGCTGGGAGGTCAATGCTAGAGTGGGCAAAGACAAAAACACTCCAGGCTAGCCACTATTTATTAGGTGCACACAATAATCGGAAGGAGTATCGGGTGATTCAGAGGGCAGCGGTGATCTTATGCTGATGAGGACACTGGGATGGGCAAAGGATTCTTACAATAGCAAGGGGGAAGAGATAGCAGGTTAATAAGGAGTTTGTCCTTTCCCCTAGACAAAACTCTTTTTTGCTATTGTCACTATTCGGTTTTCAAGGAACCAGGGTGTCTTCAGCTGATGTACTCTTGCCCTGGAACTTCACAGCATTACACTGGAGGCAGAACAGACTTAAGTTTGCTGGCTTGCATGGCCAGACACTAGGCCTCAGATGAGCCCTAATCACAATTTAATTACAAAATGACTCTTCCCCCAAAATTATGTAGAGTGGCTCTCGACACTGCAGCTGAGCTGCATCCCCAGCCCTGGCTGTGATGCCAATCTCATCCCCGGGTGAGGGAGAGGCCCTCTGTGCCTCCCCATGCCACTCCCACCCCACCACAACTTTACAGCCACAAGGCTCCAGGCACATCCCGAAATGATGGATCAGACCTTGAACAAGAACAGGCAGGAGAACCCATCCTGGATTCTGGGGGCTCAGGAGCCTAGAAATAGGCCAAAGCTGAAGGAGTGGAGTGTGCGGGGTCTGTGGCAGCAGGAGGCGGATGAAGTTAGAGGCTAAGGGTTCTAAAGGCAGGACAAATGGGGTGCAGCTGGAAGCTGTACTAAAGCAGCACCCTGGGGAAGGGGTGGCAGGCTCCGTGATTCTTGGGGCAAGTAGGACTCAGCACAGGTGTGCAGGACTTGTACTCTGCATGAATAATACCAGTTGGAAGGATTTTTATCCTCTTTGCTCTAGTCAGAACGGATTTTAAGAATTAAGCCAGGTGTGGTGGTGCATGCCAGTAAATCCAAAGTGCCATTTTTTGCCATCAGTGCCTGGTCACCAATTAGCCAGCAGCAGGGCTTTGGGAGGATGGAAGGATTAAAGGGGACGAAGCAGCGGGGCATCCAGAGACCCAGGAGCAGGGTGCCTGGGGACTCCAGGGGCCGAAGAGATTGGTAGGGTAGAGGGGGGCAGCACAAGGGCAGCTGGTTAGGGGAGGCAGGGACCACAGGCAGCTGTGCCTCGGAACGACCCTGTCCAGACGAATCCAGCTCACAGCTGACCCCAGCCCTGCTCAGCCTCCCCCCAGACACAGTCCAGTGCAGAAGTGGACAGGGAAGGCGTATGGGTGACAGGACTCTCTGCATCTCTCCTCCAGGAGCGGCAGCTGATGAGGACCCTCCCTCACCTTCTCAATGTCAATGAGGGCCTGCAGCTCACAGGGGTCCTCGAGTACTTCATCCATGCCGGTATTCACTGTGCACTGCCCTGGTCCTGCTCCCCTCTGGCCCAGAGACAGTTTCTTTCCTGCCCTCCCACCTCCTTTCCCTTCTTTTTTGATTTTTAACAATGGGCGTGGTAATCCCAGCACACCTGTAATCCCAGCACTCGGGAGGCTGAGGCAGGAGGATTGCTGGGAGTTTGAAGTCAGCCTGGGCTACATAGTTCAAGACCAGCCTGAGTTACATAGTGAGACCTTGTCTCAAAAACAAATCAAAACTCCCAACAACCTGTGGTATAATATATATAACAAAATGTACCACTTTAACCATTTTTAAGAGTCTAGATCAGAGGCATTCAGCACCTTCACACTCTTGTGTAACCATCACCAGCACCTGTCTCCAGAAGTTTCTGTCATCTCAAACTGAAGCTCTGAACCCACTAAACACTAACTCCCCACTCTCCCAGCCCCTGGAAACCACCGTTCTAGTTTCCGTGCCTGTGAATTTGACTATTCCAGTTAACTGACATATAAGCAGAATCATACAGTATTTGTCCTAGGTGGACTGATTTAAATTCATTCATGTTGTAGAACACATGAAAATTTCCTTTTTAAAGACTAAATAATATTCCATTGTATGCATATCTCATATTTTGTTTATCCTTTTGCCAGGTGTGGTTCTTTTTCCATTAAAATATTTTGTATTTTTTACATGAAAAAGTAAGATATACTTATTTTAATTAATGCAAAAATGTATATAACTAGTCACTGATATACTCCTTATTTCCTAAAAGATAGCCAAGATTAGCCTGGTGGGTAAGGTAGAATTTTCTCCGAAACAAACCTTGAGACAGTGTTTCAGGTGGAGATGATTTCTTAAAGGTTTGCTCCTGGGAGAATCCAGTGAGGGAGTGGGGAGCTGACATTGAAACAGGGAAGGAGCTGGGCAAGGATATGACGCAAGACCTCACTGGAAAGTAATCAGCCTTGAAAGCCAGAAATCAAAAATGCCAGCTCCAACTACCCTGTCCGTGCCTTACAGAGTAGCCTCTGAGCAAGAGAATAGTGGTGCAGGTAAGGCAGAGATAGGCTGATTGGGGCTGGCATTTTTGATCTCTAGTTTCCAAAACTGGTTATTTTCCAGTGAGGTTTTATTTTGAAGGAAAGAAGGTGCTTTCAAGGGAAGTCTCTCAGAAAGCTCTGGAGTATAAATCAGACTCGGGCATGTGTCTGCCTGGAGACAAAGGCTTTGTGTTCAGCCCAGCAGCAAAGATTGTGGGAGACATAAAATCACCAGGTGTTACAGCTCTGTCTTTCTTAAGAATGGGTGCACTCCATCCAGTGCCCGAAGCAATCTTCTAGTGTTGCAGGTGCATCTGGAGCAGGAAAGCCTGCTGAGGCCAGGACAGGCGCACAGAGCCAGGCATGGTTCTTACCAGGTCCTTGTTTCATGGTTTCGGAACCTGGAAATATCACTGACTTAAATGAATACTGAGTATGTTGGAATACAGCACCAGGGTTGCGGGACTCCTGGTCCCCTGGCTGTAAGACAGGTGTGGGTTCCAGGACGGTAGTAGAGGCCAGGAGGAGCTGGCCAGGGCTGCCCAAAAGCTGCAGGTGACACCCTGGCATGTCCCCCACGGCTGTCACCAGACAGAACCAGTCAGAGCTTCAAAGGGCCTTTCCTGTGGCAGGCTTCACAGTGTCTCCTAAGGCCCAGTGCCTTCTGTTTTCTTTCTCCAAAATGCCCAAGGTACAATTTTCAAAAGGCTAGGAATACCACACACAAAAAGGCAGAAGGTAAAAAAATCCATAAAGCAAAGTCATATCCAGGCACCATTATGATTGACAACCCCAGTGGGAAAATCCCCTCACATGATCCCACTGAAGAGAAAAGGTCACTTGTAAACATCAGATGTGTCGCCCCGTTAAGTCAAGTCCTGACCACTGAAGATGAGCTGTCCTAACTCTTTTCAGGTTCGTGGGACGCCGGCCAGGCTGCTTCCAATGCCATCACTCCTCAAGGCCTGGGTTAAGTTTCTGTGAATCACGTCCTTGTCCAGCATTAGAAAATTAGGAGCTCTTGATATAGAGGTGGTTCTTGAAGGTCATCTGGCCCTGGGCAGGCAGGCCACAGACCCTGCTGGATGAATGAGAGGTCCTCCCTCATGACCCGCTGTGTAACAAGGTTGGGAAGAGTTTCCTCCGCTCTGGTCTTGGGAGGTCGGGATGTCAGTGACAGAAGTCCATGTGGTGATTCTTCACAAACAGAAATAAGATCTGGCCAGGAAACAGAGAGTTGGAAGGGCAAGCCCATGGCGGTGGCCCATATCTTTCATGGTCTCATCTCCAAAGGCAACTGCATCTTCAGATCTCAGTGCCTGGAACCCTCACTGACTGGACTAGCAGGTGGAAAGCCTACATTTTGGGGTGACTCCTTCCCCTGAGGACTCCCTGAGGAGTCCCCACAGGAGTCTGTATGAAACCCTAGGTCAGGTCTGACACAATCAGAGTCCCCAAGCTCTGTGCCTTTCTGTTTGGGAGGCCAGTGCTCCAGGGTTCTCTCCCCTGCTCCCAGGACCACTGTGTCCCAACTGCCCACAGGTCTCTGGGCAGCAGGTGTGATTGGCTCTTCCAGAATGAGGCCTCGCTGGCAGCCCTCCCAGAGTGCCTCAGGCCTCCCAGGCAAAGCACAGGGGCCCTCATGGGAGATGTGCTGACCTAGGGGCCACTGGCATCCCCTCACCTGCCCCAACAGCCTCCTCTGGGCCTCTTCCTGAGGATTCTCCTCATCTCCTTTGCACACCACTCCCTTAGCCCAACACTCAGGTCTATAATTGGCCACATTCCCTTGATGAGCTAAGATCAAAACTTTCCCTCACAGGAACCCTGGGCCCCATACAAATAAGGGATGTGGATGGACATGCGTCTCAACATGCAGAACTCTCCATGACAGCCAATGAGTCCAGGAACATTCTAGAACAGTTAAGAAGCTGGTCATTTGGGGCACACAGATGTCATCAGGGAGCAGCCACACTGACACCTCTGGCATTCAGCCCCAAATCTTGTAACATGTAGTTTGGATTTATATAGCTAAAGACCCATAGATCTACATTTTTCCTACACTCTGTAACCTCTTTATGGAATCACCTTCGCAAGCATTTCTTCTGAAACATCTTTTTAAAAAATATATTTGTTGTGTTTTTTCCATTTTTGTTTTGATTAGTACATGTCTGCAGTACATAAATATCTCATTCTTTGTGGGGAGTTGGTACATGGACATAACACATCTTAATTCCTTCTTCATCCCTTTTCCCTCTTCTCCCTCCCCTCCTTCCACCTCTCGGTCCCCTTCCCATTTGCAAAAGATCTATCTCCTTGTTTCCTAGTATTTTCACTTTGCTCTTTATTTATATTTTGTGTTCCTTATATAAGAGAAACCATGTGATATCTATTTAAGCTTGTGTCTGGTTTATTTCACTTAACATTATGATCTCAAGGTATATCTATTTCCTACTAATGCTTCAACTTTATCCTTCTTTAGGGTAATGTAGTACTCCATTGTATATAAATATCACAATGGGGCCGGGGATTTAGTTCAGTGGTTCTGCTGCCTGCCTCCCAAGCACAAGGACCCAAGTTCAATCCCCGGTACCAAAAAAAGTGGCATTCTATAAATACCACATTTTCTTCATTCATTTGTTGATGACCATATAGGCCACTTCCAAGATTTAGCTATTATGAATTGTGCTGCTATAAACATGGGCATGCATGTATCAATGTAATGTGATGTCTAACTGTTCCATCTTTTTTTTTTTTTTTGGTACTGGGGATTGAACTCAGGAACTTGTGCTTGCTAGGCATGCAGCAGAACCACTGAGCTAAATCCCCAGCCCAGTGTCTAACTTTTTTAGGATACCTTAGAAAGGAATAGCTGGGTTGTCATAGTTACTTTTCTCATTACTGAGAAAAAATATATGACACCCAAAGTTAAAGGGGGAAAGGTTTATTTCAGCTCACAGCTTGTAGAGGTTTCAGTCCATAATCAGCTGGCTCCAAGACCGGGTTGCATGGCAGAAGGGCATTGTGGAGGAGAAACTGTTCATGGCAGGCAGAAGGCAGCAAAAGCAGCAAGCAACAACAGCAGCCCTCTTTCTGTTCTTTGTATTATATCCAGGCTACCCACCCTTAGGGTGGGTCACACATCCTACTATGAATCAATCCCAGCATCACATCCTTAATCCCAGCATCACACACTCTAGATCCAGCCACCTCTGAAAAGCCTCACCCATAACCACATGAGGCTTTGGGGGCACATCTAGATACAAGCCATAACATGGGTCAAATGGGATTTCATGTTTTAGTTTTTTGAGGAGTCTCCATACTGATTTCCATAGTGGTGTACTAGTTTACATTCCCACCAACAGTGTATAAGGGTCCCCCCCACCTACATCCTGCAACCTCACAAACACTTGTTATTTGATTTCTTGATGAATCTCAGAGTTGTTTTAATTTGCATTTCTCAAACCCAGAGATGTTGAACATTTTTTCTTGTATTTACTGGCCATTTGTACATCTTCTGAGAAGTGTCTATTCATTTCACTTGCCCATTTTTTGATTAGGTCTTTTATTTTGGGGAGGTCTGATTTTTTTTTATAAATTCTAGATAATAGTCCTCTGAGGAATAGCTGGAAAAAAAATTTTTTCTCACTCTGTAGTTTGACTTTTTATTGTTTGTTGTTTCCTTTGCTGCGGAGAGAGGTGTTAGCCATAGAGGCTCCATGTTAAATCTTACCCTCCATTGTATAGAGCAAGGAGACTATGTTACGAGGAACCGCGTCCTTGCCAAATTAGATGTTTACCTTCAGAAATTGTCCTGGAACATGATGAACATTTTGTAAACCCGA